GAGATCCCCCTGCCTCTGCCTCCCGAGTGCTAGGACTAAAGGCTTGCACCACCAACGCCCGGCTGCTTGTGTATGTTTTTAATAAAGTAAGCATCATGAATAACTCAGCTTTCCAACTTCAGTCCTGCTGGGAACACGGGCTGATTGTGTCATACACAAAGTAGCCCTTGTCCCTGGGCCTTTAGCCTTGGCTGCTGGTTGGTCAGGATTCTGTTGCAGAGGCAGGCCTGGTTTCCAGAGCCTTCTCTCCTGAACCTCACAGTCCAGGTGAGCTCAGCAGAGCAGGTGCCATGGACAAGTGTCCCAGGCTACCAGAACATATGCACTTAAGTTTAAGTTGGGGCTGAGCACTGTGAGAATGTAGAGAGCCCTTGTCCCTGGGGAGCCTCCAGTCCCATGTACCACTTAAGCACACAGGAAGGGACTAGCACCTATAAGGTGACACTTTGACCATGAGGGTCCACACTACACCTTCTTAGAATGGACAGAGACTGAAAATGAGGTCCTCCCAAGTGACCTCAGGCTGACTGCAAGCTGGGAGCACAGGGTCTACTGGGCTCAGCATCTGTGTCCGGCTGTTCCCTGCTCTGCAACAGAGGAGTGTTGATGAATGGCCATGGAACTGGACACTCCTTCTACCCTTCCTTCCTGCCCTCCTCACACTGCACAGGACTGCTAGACTCCAGCCTTTGCTCTGTCTGCAGACATGTGGTTCCCCTTGGCATTCCAGCTGGGTCCCCAGCTATGACAGTGACCCACCACCTCCCACAAGCATCTGCAGCTCCTACCCCAGTCTAACATTATTCTGACATGACCAACATGACAGAACTCCTTGCGTTGTTCATAGTGGGTTTTTGTTGTTGTTTCATTTTGTTTGTTTGAGACAGGGTCTATGTAACCCTCACAGGCTGGCATGTTGGCAGGCCTCAAACTCACAAAGATCTGTTTGCTTCTGCCTCCCAGGTGTGGAACTTGGTCACAGTTTTGAACAAGTAATCATGGTTCTGACCTAATTAATTGTTGTCTTCTCTATGGAACCCACCTCCACATCTACATAACTCCCTGAGCCCACGAAGTCAGCTTTTTCAGAGAGGCCTTTCACATGCTTACACCCTACCCTGGGCCTTCTCCTGAGGGAAGTCTTGGTACATCCCTTCTCCATGAGCAGAAGTGTAGCTCAGTGTTTATAACTGCTGTGGAAGAGTTTGTGCTCCTGTCTGTCTACAAGGAGAACATAGTAGCAGAGTCAGTCAGCCCCATCCATATTCAAGGGATTTTTGTTTTGTTTTTTGAGACGGGGGTTTTTCTGTGTCCTGGAACTCACTCCGTAGATCAGGCTGGCCTTGAACTCACTGAGATCCCCCTGCCTCTGCCACCCAAGTGCTGGGATTAAAGGTGTGTGCCACCACTGCCCTGTTCATATTCAAGGGACTTTTAAGGAAAGGAGAGCAGAAAGAGACAAGGCCCAGCCAGAGAGGAAAAATAAAACTCACCAGAGCTGCTGGTCCAGCTCCGGATACAGAGCTGGGAGAGAAGCTGCTCCGAACCCAATAGTGGGTTTGGTTTAGTGCAAAACTGGTCACCCTGCTCAGATGAAAACATGGCTGACAAGTGCACTTTGAACCCTGGGGATCTAAGCCCTGGCTGGCCAGAGTCCTCGGGAATAAATGTGGTCTATGGCCAAGTTGCCAGCTGCTCTGGGGCCAATCAAGTTACAAGCCTTGACTGTTTCTCGGCCCCTGGGGCCCTAGCCCTTGAAACATCAGGTGGCCTCCCAGGGTAGGTAAAGCATTGCTTCTCTTGAAGGCCAAGTCAAACCCTACCCCACTAGAGCCCCAGTCATTCTCTAGGCCCTAGACTCTAGGGCATCAGGAGGGGACAGTGACAGCTCCACAGTCCCAAATGCCTTCTTGGCATAGGGTCCTAACACCCTACTCCTTCCCAGCTGTTCTCAGTTTCCTTCTTTCAGGAACCTTGACAGTGTGGAAACAGTCTGGGTTCTGGACATGGATAGATGTGGGTTGGAAGCCAACCTCCATAGCTAAGTCACCTTGGCAAGCCTGTTGGCCTGTTGAACATTGATTTCTGGTCTGTGAACAAAGGGATGGTGTTGCAGGGAGGTGGGTGCAAGTATACTAGTGTACTTGAGCAGTGTGTCTGTGTTGTCATATCTGGATAGATGCTGTGGTCCCTCGGACTCCTACATGCTGATATCTTCTTCCTGGTGAATGGGTGGCAGGTGGATCCCCGCCTCTCTTAATTTTCACTTTGTCTTCACGAATTTGCCCCAGTGGTTCCAGCAACTCCCCTGTTGAAAGGAAACTGAGTGTAGGCACCACAGACCCCCACCACCCAGCCACCAGAAGCAGAGGATTCTGCAACTTCCTTAAGAACAGCAGCAGTGAGTCTCTTGGGAGCTGCTTGGAGCTGAGGAAACTGTAAAGCCAGCCAGTGAGGCCTCAGACTTGGGCCCACAAGGGAGTTCTTGGAAAAGGCATGTACCAGCTCATTCTGCCCAGGCCTCCTTCCTGCCCCTTGGACAGCTGGCAGGGGTCTGACCACTTCATACATCTCCACATGGAGGGCAAGTTGTGTGGAATTAAGAAATAACATCTGATGAGAGCAAAAGATTCCAGCTAGGTGTTCTAACAGGACTGTCTAAAGGATGTACACAAACAAACACACACACACACACACACACACACACACACACTGCACTCCCCTGTGCAGTAGGTTTTTGGATCTCACACCACAGGCAGGACTCCGCCCCACCAAGAGGAGTGCTTTGCTTCCAGAGAAAAGGATTGAAGCTTCTACCAAACTTTCCCTAGGATCTCAGCTCTCCTTGGCTGGCTTTGAGAGGGATCCATCCCTCATCCTCTGAGCCAGAGTTGTCCCAGTACTTTGCAAACTGTATACTGAGAGGTGGACAGTAGCTGTTACACCATAGTCTCTGGCATTCTTCCTACTTCAAAGTGAATGAACAAGCTACCTTGATTAAAGTGACAAGGCAAGGAGACCACTGTGACTCACTAGAAATGCCCTCAAACATCTGTGAACTTGGGCCACCATGACAAGGAGGGCAGGACTCAGCTATGCCATCTAAAAATCAACATAGACTCTAGACCTACCTCACCTCTGAGCTTGGAAAAGTGGTTCTCCTCTGAACCCTACCTCGTTGACAGTTAATCCCACTGTTAAGTGGTCCTTGATAACTATGACATCACCACAACCCCAAAGAAATGCATCTTTCAGTGACTTCCCAGTTGCTCAGCCCGGAGTGTCCATTAGTAGACAGAAACTCTTAGGTGTGGCTCTTAGAAGCACTGTTAAGTCCTTAGAATTATCTTAGGCCTAAATTTGGCTCAATTTATACTCATATTACCCCATTCCAGGCACCAGCTGCCATCTTTAATTGAATAGTCATATTTTACAGGGTTTGTCTTCCAGGCAAGGGCTGAAATCCACAGTAGGGCAATTCTTCATCTTGGAAGTCCAAGGACCTATGACCTAGCTACCCTGTGATGGAAAAGTAGAGTTTTGGGGTCCCCCTTGGACATCCCCAGGGGATGGATGGTCCTAACCAAAGGAGATTTGGACTCTATCTTGGTTCTGGAGGTTGGAAGCTGATAGCATAATGCCTTTGCTTTTCTGATGTACTGATGATGAACTTTGCTTATAAGAGCTTAAGTGTCCTTCTGTTGTTTGGAACTTCTGTCATTACTATATACTCTCCATCAGGGATCAAGTTGAAGGAGGGAACAGAAAAGTCAAAAGTGGGCCTTGCTGTCTGTGGTAGACTACATTCCTCCCCTCCATTCTTTCACAATCCCCTCTAGCTGGCTTCACACCACTCCTACCTGCCATTGCTTAAGAGCCACCCACCAGAAAACTCTGTAGATGTCACAGGAGGCTAACCCCCTAAAATCTTGTTCTTGGTAAGGACTGGGCCCTGGAAGGACTAAGAAGGCTATCCATCTCCATCTTAGTCCCCAGTAAAGCTATCCTTGAAAAACCCAACTGGGTCTCCAGATGGGCAAGGCCTGTAATCCAGGACCCCACCCCCACCTAGTGAGGACAGCCACCTAGTGACAGCCCATCTGCCAGGCACACAGCATGTTCAGTCTTCAGGGTAACCACAGACTGAGCTTTGCCCATTTTACAGTTTTGTCCTCATCTTCCCTTCCCTCATTCAGATCTGCCCCCAAGCTGCACCTGTTATTTAGTACAAATGAGTCCAAACCACAGTCAGTGGTCAGATAGTCACTGAAATTAAAAGTCAAGTTCCTGCATATATCATTGGTCACATTTCAGGTACTTAGCCCCCAGGCTTGACTAGCATTAGTACAGAGTAGAGATCATTTCCATCAAGTGAGGCCTAGGGCAGCAGCAGGCCTTGGGGATGTTGCTTGCACTGTTGTCTATTCCATTGTCAGTGTCATACCAATCGTTTATTGTTTGGAATGGCACCTGTTTGTTCAGCAGAACAGATAGGCTCTGGGTTCCTCTGAATTTGTCACAGACTAACAGATAACCAGGCCCCAAGAGTTCAAAATCAACTCCCAAGCCTGATGACCTGATTTGATCCCAGGTTCCACAAAGTTAAAGAACCAACTTAATTAGGAGTTGGCCTCTGACCTCCACTAAACAAATAAAATAGGATTAAGACAATCAAACTCAAAGGCAGAGGCAAGCAGATCTCTGTGAGTTTGAGGCTAGCCTATGTATGCATAGTGAATTCCAGGACAGCCAGGATTACTTAGTGAGACCCTGTCTCAAAAAACCAAAAATAAATACAACAAATGAATATAAATGAGCATGTCCCTGTAACATGGCATGCGGTTCCCTCCTCCTGCCATCTTCTTGACCATAACTGGAAAGATTCATGACAGATGCATGTCAATGCTCAGCCAAAGCTCAGGCAGAACGCCAAAGATTCCCACCAGAATGTTTCCATAAAAAGTAAAACAGATTACGACTTCTAAGTAAAAAGCCACACGCCTTGTAAACAATTAACTTTATAAAAAGACAAATATACATATTTACACAGATCCATATGTGATCAAACACAATTTAGTAGTTAGGTGGCGTTTCCAATAGTCAAAGTCACGCCAAATCGCTCACAACCCCCTCCCTGGGCCTGCTGAGGACTGCCAAGGCCTGAGGAGACAGTGGGCACCAGGCAAGGCACTGTATAAATAAACGAGAAGGCCAAGACTTGGGGAGAAATGTTAGTGTACACCTCTGATCAGTTATGTGGCAAGGTCCACAGAGAAAGTGCCATTTTTTTTTTCCTGAGCCCTACAGCTGGAGAGCAGGTAGCGAGGCAGAGCTCCTCTGAGGCTAAGGGAGCCCAGCCTCACAGGACTCCATTTTTTTCCTTCACATTTCACTGGCTTTGAAACCATCCCAGGGCTCGGCTGGGAAGGGCAGCAATTCTTTGGGAATAGGACTCACTTAGTGCAATTGTCTCCCAGTGCACAGCCAGCCCAGTGACAAGACCCTCTCCAGGCAGCAAGGCTTTAAAGAGCTAGAGGATGACTCCTGTCCCTGTCTCCCACCTCACAGCAACCTCAGAACCCCAACTCCATCTTCCCAGGAGTCAGGGCCAGCTTCACCTCACAAGAAAAACTCAGATCCTGGCATTCCAAGCCCTGAGAGTCCACTGACCCAAGGAGGGTGGTCTCTTCCCGCTTGGCAGTGGGGCTATGCTTTGCCATGTCAAGGGACCCACAGCAGTCTAGCTTTTCTGTATTACAGCCACCATGACACCAGACCTTGCTCATTCAGAAGAGCAAGAACGGGTCAGGGACCCAAACTATGGTCCACAAGGAATAGCTTGAATAGAGGATAGGGAGACAGTGGGGGGCAGCAAGGTGTCCATCCAGATGGAGTCCATATTCTTCAGATCCGTGAAGACATGTTGTATGCCCATTCCAAAGTCCCCTAGAAGATGACCAAAAAAAAAAAAAAAGTTATTTAAGAAAAGGTACGAGAACCTCACACAGTCGTCCACAGCAAGCAGCAAGCACAGCTCGTCCTCAGCACAGGAACAGTGCTCACTGCTGTGCCTGCTGATCCAGTTTAAAAGAGATCTTTTATCTTTATCTGACTCTGCCTCCTATCATGTCCCAGTTCCCATAAACTTCGCTCTTCTCCCAGAATCCATAAGGACCTGGAGACCTCTTACCTCCAGGGCTGTCAATCTCTGGTTCCTCCTTGCAGCTAAACTCTCCATAGACAGAAGAGGGTTGGGCTCCTGGTTCATTGAGCAAGTATCCCTTGCCATCCACATTTGTCATCTGCCTCTCAGACTGCTCAAAGAGCTGAGGAGAAAACATGAAGCCATCAGCCGTCTGCCAGTGCAGACTTACCCTGTGGGCCCTGCCCTCAATGAGCTAACCCTTCCCAAGCAGAATCACACCCTTGGGCATTTGTATATTCTCCAATGGGTGTCAGCATGCAGAACTGTCAAGACAAGGCCCAAGAGTGTGGGGAACATGGAGTTTCCTGGGCCCTGTAAGGCCTCTGCTGTGTCACTGTCCTTCTCTCTTCCTATCCCCACCCTCTGGCACAGAATCTGCATGACTTCCCTCAACTCGGGGAGGACATAACAACTGGTAAGGCAGCTTAAAGTAAAAGTTAGCATAACAAGCCAGGAAGGCTGAAGACAAGGGACTAGACCCGCATCTCAATGTTCTGCGCTCACAGGCCAGAATCAGGACAAAACTACCTCAAAAACTTTTATAGCCACTTTGAAAACTGCAGCTGAAAAAAATGAAAGTGCAAAAGAACTTGCTAAGGAAAAAAAGATTTTTTTTTTTTAGTCATCTTAGTAGAGATCCCAAAAGCTGATTATTGAAACCTGATGTGCATTTCCCAAACTGGGAATGGGCTGGGCAAGCTGGGGCGGAGGACACAGTGCTGATGGGGGCTGACTCAGAGCTGTCTGGGACCCTGAGGCTTGCTTG